TAATCTTGATTAATTGAAATTTTCAATTTACTTAATTAAGTTGATTTATTAAAATTTATGGTTAATTAAATTTAGAGAAAAGTGAAAATTAGGATATTTTGATATTTATATTATTTAGTATACTTATGAAATTATTCAAATATTTTTAATAAATCTTTATTGCATTAATTCATTAAGAGTACTTAAATAATTTTCATTATTATTTTTTATATTTTAATTGTTAGGACGGTATGATTTTCTTTAATTTTATTAGAAATTTTCTAACTTGTATCTTAAAAGTATAGATTAAAGGTGCATTTATTATACTTTTTCACTATTAATTTACATAAAAAATAAAAGCTAACTTACTATCCATTTGAATCATTTCACATAATGTTGGTGTTGAAAATAAAATTTACTTTTCATAATTTTTATATAAATTATTGATAAAAATATATAATAAATACACATTATTAACATGTATTTTAAAGACATATTAAAGAACCCATTATTTATGGGCAATACTTATTAATATGAGATGTGATTCATTTACACACATAAATTTTAAACATCATGTTTGTATACAATTTTAACTATTTATCTATTTATTTTTAATAGTTAATATTTATCATATTTTTTAAGTAAAAAAGATCATTGCTTTTAATAAATCTCAACTATTAAAAAAATAAAAACCAATAACTGAAATTTTATATAAATAAAATATATAAAATTTACACGCAAATGAGTTGTTAGGCTATTGGTATTATTCTTCTGTAGCTCAAAAGCGCAACAACGTCATTAATACATGCTTGGCCAAATCATTGATTTTCCTTAATCTCATTCTAATAAATTTCTATAAGTTTAATTATCATTTTGCCCTTCCATTCTTACGATATGTGAAAGATTAAAAAGGTGTTTTGAATGCCATGTCAGCACTCCATTAGCATCATATAAGCAACCGTTAGTACCAGGAGCACTCTGGTTAACGGCTATTAACGGAGCGACCACGCGAGGTTTCTTTACCAAAGTTCAAGGAGTTTTGTGATTTCTATTTTGGTACAAGGATGATAATGAGAAGTTCAGCGATTTTTAATAGCTCTAAGCCAATCCTATATAAAAAAATTTGAGAAAAAAACCTTTTAAAAAATATTATAAAAAGTCTATTGATAAAGAATCATATTAAGAAGAATAAAAAATAAAAATATTATTTTTATTTTTTAATTATAATAATAAAATATAAAAATACATAAATGAGGATACGAAAAAGAAACTTTAGAAAAAAAGTGATCTCCAATCAAAAACACTGTAGTTATGTTTGGGAACATGTATTTGTACTTAAAATGGGTTGTTGTCGAGCACGTGTGTGGTCATGGTAATGGATGTTGGATGAGTGCTTTCTAAGTATCTAGTTGCGTTAGTTGTAGTCTAATTTTGTATATGGGTTGGAATACCTTTTGTATTTTGTATTAATATTATTTTATTTTTTTTGTTGATTAAAAAAATTTAAGATTAAGATTTCAATTATTTTTGGGAGTTAGAATTAATATGTATTTTTTTATAATATTATGTGATATTGTAATTTAATGTATCATTATTTAATTTGTTTTTATTTAAAAATTTATTTATAATACTGTATATATTTATTCAATATTTATTATATAAAATTAGTGTATATCAATTCTGATTTTTTTTTTTAATTTAAAATCTCAACTTATATTTAGAAACTAAAATTTCAATTCAAAATTTAAAAATTTACCCTATTAAATATTGTTACCTAAATTTGAAAATTAATTGTATATTATAATGAAATCACTTTTTAAATCTAAATATTAATATTTAATAAGATAAATTCTTAAATTTTCAGTTGAGTTTTAATTAAATAAAATGAGGTACTTATTTTAAATTTGAGACTTTAATTTATTTTAAAAATTAAAACTGATATGCATTTTTTCTCTTATTATATTTATTTAATGTCATATATCATATAATTAAAAAATTTATCATTTTAAGTAATACTATTCTTTTTATTAAACCTTTAAAATTTAAAAATTATATTAGTATCAATTAATTTAAAATTAAATCACAATGAATCATATAATTTTTTTAATATCTATTACTATATTTATTAAATTTAAATTTAAAATTTTATTTAAATAATATTTTCACCCAAATATATAACTTTATTTTATTTAGACTTTATTTAAGTTAAAAAATTAAATTATCAAATAAATTAAAAATTTCGCTCAAATATCCAATCCCTTGCCATATAAACATGACATAGCAATATTTTACCATCCAAGCAGCCAAGCGAGCGTGTCCTAAACGGCAGTTAAACCAGGCGAGCGAGCCCCAAACGGTAGCTAAGTTGGCATAAGAAGAAGGGTTTAAGTGCTCCGATCACAGAATTTAAGGGTTTATATGCATCAATTAAAGTCTAAGAATTTAATAACGATTCTGAGATTAGCTCAAGAGCTTAACTTACGGTTTTGCCTTAACATTTTAACATTTAATGAAAGATTGTAACACATAAATTAACATTAAAAAAGAACATTGAAATTGCTGCATTTTTGTCGATTAATTTGTAGGCCCCCATTTGCATTTCATTTACATTTGCATCTCATTTGCATCACAATTTCATTTCATCTTCATTTCATTTCATCTTCTTACATAATGCAGCAGTTTGCTGGACTTTTCTATTCTTCCATGAAAGCAGCTTTATTGCTGCACCTTTTTTGCTATCAATGCAGCTTCTTGCTACACCATTTTGCTGTCTAGTTGCAGCAAACATTACAGCTTCGATGCCGTGGCTCCAACAAAAAAGAACCCACGTCCGTTCATTTTCACTTTGATTCTGTCCAACTAAACAAATCTCTTTCTCACTTCTTCTATTTTCACCTTTTCATTGATTTGGTGGTTGTTTTCTTTTCTTCATACTTCTGTTATCTGTGTATTGTTTTGTATCTGTTTTCCAATATTCAACAAAAAAGAAAAAAAAAAGGTGAAAAATGGCAGGCACCGAAGCTGCTACTGTTGTTGCTGAAAAAGTTGCAGAGAACCTGGTTGATCGAATTTTCAATTTAATCTGGAACAGAATAGCTCGTGTGTTCAAATGGAAGACTAATTTAAAGAATCTGGAGAATGACGTTAAGAGGCTGGTGGCTAGAAGAGAGAGTTTGCTGAAATTTAAGGAAGCTGCTGACAGAAAAGGGGAAGAGTTGCCCGAGGTCAATAAGTGGCTTAAAAAAGCAGACGAGTACTTTAGAGAGATGCAGGAGTTGAAGGATGTTGAAGAGAATGCCAAGAAGAAGTGTTTGGCTGGGATGTGTTGTAATCCCTGGGCGCGTTACCGAATCAGCAAGAAAGTAGAAGAGTATGTGAAAGTTGTGGCTCAACTGCTAGATGAAGCTGGTAGCTCCAACTTCTTAGTTGCTATTCATCCTCCTCCACAGAAGATATCTGCTGCACGAGTTAAAGATTTTGAGGACTTTGGCTCAAGAATGTCCATTTTGGACCGTATTATGGGGGCCTTGAAAAGTTCCACTGTTGACAAGATTGGTGTGCACGGGATGCCGGGTGTGGGCAAGACCATGTTAACCAAAGAAGTTGCCAGACAAGCCGAGGAAGCCCAATTATTTGATGCAGTTGTGATGGCTTCTGTGACAAAGGAACCAAACGTGAGAAGAATTCAAGCTGAAATAGCAGACAATTTAGTACTACAGCTTCATCGGGAGAGCGATGATGGGAGAGCCGATCAAATAAAGGCGTATTTGATGGGAAAGAAGAGGATTCTTGTGATTTTAGATGATATCTGGACGGGGATAGATTTGGATCAACTTGGGATTCCACATGAAGTTAAAAAGAATGAGGCAAGCTCAATTGGTGAAGTACATGTGCAATGCAAGATTCTGCTCACCTCTAGATCTCGCACTGTCTTATCACATCTCATGGATACTCATCAAAATTTTGAAGTTGGCGGATTACAAGATGAGGAAGCATGGGAGCTCTTGAAGAAGATAGTTGGTGAAGAAGTTGAAAATTCTGACTTGCGGCTTACAGCAAGGGGGATTGTGGAAGAATGTGCTGGGCTCCCCCTGGCCGTTCGAACTCTTGGCAACGCTTTAAAATGTAAGGAACTTTATGAATGGACGGATGCTCTGCTAAGACTGAGAAATCCCTCTCCAGAGAACTTCAGGGGGATCCCTGCAACTGTTTACTCAGCAATTGAACTGAGCTTCAAGCACTTAGAATCAGACGAACGCAAGCAAACTTTCTTGCTGTGTAGTTTGCTCGGACAGAATGGTTCTACAGACGACTTGTTGGAATATGGTCTTGGCTTGGGCTTATTTCATAATGTCAGTACAATAGCAGATGCAAGGGCCAGGGTATTGACATTGGTTAGTGATCTAAAATCTTGTTCTTTGTTGCTTGATGATTGTAGCAATACTCACATTAAGATGCACGATATTGTTTTTGATGTCGCCACATCCATTGTCTCAAGGGACTACCATGTGTTATCATTAATAGATGGCAACGAACCCGAAAATTGGTCTGATGGGGAGGCAATGGGAGATATCAAATGGATTAGCCTACAACACGCTAATGTTGGTGAGCTTCCTGATGAGTTGGATTGTCCACAATGTAACTTGTTTTCTTTACGTAGCAAGGATCCTTCTGTGAGAATTCCAGAAAATTTTTTTCGGGGAATGCCAAATCTCAGAGTCTTGAATTTCACTAAGATGCATTTTTCATCCATGCCTTCATCAATTTGCCTCCTAAAACACCTTCATACATTACGTATGAGTGAAAGTATTATAGAAAACATAGCCTTCATTGGAGAGCTTATGAGTTTGGAGGTCCTAAGCCTTTCAGGGTGTGATCTTGAAGAGCTACCATTGCAGATTGGACGGCTAACCCAGTTGAAGTTGTTAAATTTGAGTGATTGTACCAAACTCAAATTGATTCCACCACTCATCCTGGCAAGTTTATCCAAACTTGAAGCTCTGCACCTGGGAAACAGCTTCAATCAATGGGACACCGCAAATCAAAGAAATGCAAGCCTTGTTGAGTTGAAGAATTTACATAACCTGGCTGCTTTAGATTTGCATGCTTGTGATGTCCAGCTTGTTCCAGAAGACTTGTTCTCTGAAAGATTGAAAAGATACAAGATCTTTATTGGAGAAGTGTGGAACTGCAGGGACACTTCTTTTAGAAGCTCAAAAATATTGAAATTGGAGCTGAATACAAGTATTAGTTATGAGCATTTTATTTGCATGTTGATGAGGAGAACAGAAGAACTACATCTAGAGAATCTGAAGGGTGTCGAGAATATAGTTTCTGAGTTAGATGCTGAAGGTTTTCAGGAACTGAAGTATCTTTATGTCCAAAATGCTCATGAGATTCAGCATATCATTAAATCAGTGGGACAAATTCATTCCCATGCATTTTCCTCCTTAGAAGTACTATTTCTCCGAAATTTAAAGAATATGGTGAAGATATGTCATGGCCGACTTGGAGAGACATCTTTTAGAAGATTAAGAACCATAACGGTCGAATGTTGTAAGCAGCTCAAGAGTTTGTTCCCGTTCTCCATAGCTAGACGGTTTCTCCAACTTGAAGAAATTAGAGTAACAGACTGCAGTAACATGTTAGAGCTTGTTAAAGAGGAGAGGCAAGGTCCCACTAATGATATTGATATTGCAGAAGAAGATCAAAATTTTACACTTGCCCAGCTACGGTCCTTGAAATTGCAGTATTTGCCAAAGTTCATTAGATTATGCCATGGAAATGAGGAAACAAATGATTCAAGTTCCAGGGCTGCACCACTTTTCAATGAAAAGGTATTTAGCTTTTTCTTTCATACGTGTTTGTATATATATATATGTGTGTGTATATGCATACTGTAAATAAACCTTAAACAGATTAACTAATAGGAACTCTGGAGATCTAGCTATCTATTAGCTAGGTGTTATAAGGCAATGTTTGGTTAGTAGCAGTGGCATTTTGTGGTGAAATCATAAAAACAAGTTACATTTAAAAGAAACTTCTATAGGAAGCAATTATAACTAAGCCTTAATATTTATAATTTTTTACTAAAGTAATAAATGAATGGGGAATATGTATTACTTTCATTTTTTAAGGAAAATAGGAATTCTTTGATTATTTGTTAATATAAATGGAAAGTTAGACGTTAAGGTTTTTCTTAGCTTTTTATGAAAATTTTATAATTGTAGCTTATTTTTTTAGTTTAACTAAGGAATTGTCATTACCACTAACTAAGTAAGTCTTAAATAAAATGAGAATTTATTGAAATAATGTAATTTGGGAGTTATTTTCCTTTTAATTTTTTAGAGGTATAATTGATGGGCACTAATTTCTTCTTTTAATTCTTTTTTTTTTTTTTCTGGTAAAATTGTTAGTTAAGAAACGTGAATGATCACTTTGGTTAATAGAAGATGACAAAAAAAAAAGGAAAAGATTAATAAAAATTTACAAATAAAAGAAAATGAAAATAAATAATTTTTTCAATTGTGAATGTAATTCTATTAGAAGTATAACAAATATGATTTGTACGAGACACTCAAACATAAGCTCCATTTTATATCTTTAAAACCTTTTTTTTTCCTTCATATCTTTCCATATGAACCAGGCATAATTTCGGACAAAGAATAATATAATGTACACATTTTGCAGATTCTCTTTCCAAAACTGGAGGAGTTGAATTTGTCCTTGCTTAACATTGAAAGTATATGGAGCAGTCAGCTTTCGAAAAAATCTTGTTGTATCCACACTCTGACAAAGTTGATTGTTGAGGCCTGTGATCATTTGGAGTACTTATTTTCATCCTCTATGGCTAAATGTCTTGAGCAGCTCACATGCCTTGAAATTAAAAAATGCAAAAGGATGAGAGAGATAATTGCACCAGAGAATGCAGAAGAAATGGAGGATTTGATTTCTTTTCCTAAGTTAAACATCCTGTGTATAAATGATCTTCATAGGCTTAGCAGATTTTGCTCTGGAAACTATAGTATTGGATTCACAACTTTGAAGGAATTGTATATACAATATTGCCCAGAGTTAATGGGGTTCGTGGTCAATACGGGCACAGATGTTACGGATGGACTGCAACCCCTGTTTAATGAAAAGGTATAAATTTTTATTTCACTTTCATTTTGGCCCTAATTTTAGTAACTGATTTCGTTACCTTAATAATTGTGATTAATTTGACAAATTATATGCAGGTTGCGTTTCCCAGCTTGGAACAATTGGAAATCTTTGCCTTGAAGAAGTTGAGGATCATATGGCACCACCAACTCCCTGCAGATTCCTTCTGCAAACTAAAAATTTTATCGATTGGTTGTTGTGATAAATTATTGAATATTTTTCCATCTTATATGCGTGCTAGATTATTGACCTCAGTGGAAGAGTTGTGGGTAGGACGTTGTGGTAGTCTAAAAGAGATATTTGAACTTGGAGAACTGAATGTGGAAGAGTCAAGTGCTGTGGTAAACACTAAGTTAAGAGAGTTTCTTTTCGCACATTTACCAAGGTTGAAGCATTTGTGGAGCAAGAATCCCTGCGGAATTCTCACTTTTCGGAACTTGCAGGCTGTGGTAGCTATTGGTTGTCAGAACCTCCAAAGTATGTTCCCAGCTTCAGTGGCAATGGGGCTTCAGCAACTTGAAGTTTTGAAGATAACAGGTTGCTTGATGATGAAGGAAGTTGTAGCATTGGAAGAAGGAGATGAAACAGTTCCTAGGTTTGTGCTTTCTCGTTTATCTACTCTGAAGCTGCGTACTCTACCAGGACTCAAATATTTCTATCCTCAGAAACACGTAATAGAGAGCCCCATGTTAAAAGATTTCTATTTAGATCTACGGAACTCTTTTAAAGAAACAGAAGGAGAGAGGCTTGGCAAATTTCCAGTTCAACTACCGCTTTTCTCTATAAAAAAGGTATGAGCCTCAGTTACAAAA